TCTTGTTCCATCGGAGGGTATTGTATCGTAAATTTTCTGAGCTGGAGTATTCTTATTATCCATCGAGACCAAGTGACCTAGCCAATATCTTTTCATTCTTTGAATCTACTACGTCGTTTATCTCGTACAGCTCATTGCTCCATTGACAGCGGTATTTGCCGTTAATTACATCTGAATAGAACGGATAATGAGAGTACAAAGTTCTTTGAGGAACATTGAAGATTATTTGTTCAAGCGGCGCTGGGCAGTCTACTAAGCCATTGATGATGTCATAAATAAATAGTAATGACTGGACAGATCGTCGAAGAGCAAGAGATTTCAGTTATATTAGGTAGAGTAAAAGGTTCGTTCGGTTTTTTATTGATTTTTTTCAAAATATGATAACTTTGTATACATTTGTCCAATTTAAGTCAAACTTTGTTGCCAACGAGATGCCAACTTCATTATACCCCTCTCGTAGAAGGCTGCGTCCCTATTGGCAAAAAACTCGGAGAGTCAATTTCCACAGGCCTCTCTTGAGGTCAACTTCTCACCATTAAGCGCATTCGCCATGGACAGGAAAACATGGTAATCACTTGGTGCCAGGTCCGGACCATAAAGTGTGTGCATTAGGACCGCCCATCCCATCTCCTGGACCTTCCTGTCGGGTCACCAAAGACGTGTGTGGCCTGGCGTTGTCCTGATGGAAAATAATTCGTCCTCTGTTGATCAGAGATGGCCTCTTCTGGATGAGTGCTGCCTTCAAACGGTCCAGTTATGGGCAGTAGAGGGCCGAATTGGGTGTTTGATCGTAAGGGAGCAGCTCGTAGAAGATTAATCCTTGCCAAACCCACCAAACACACAGCAAAATCTGGTGCATCTTTGACATCGAAATTACCGGAACGGAACCCAGCAAACCACTTTTGATCTACACGTTCGTTTCCAGTATCGGGCCCATAAACTAAATTAATTTTTTCAGCCGTTTCGCCGATTTTAAAGCCGCCTTCGACAGCACGAATAGGAGCTGCCTTTACGCCGCTATATCTGAATTCGGTGTAAGCTGACGCTAGACAACACAAAAAGCGCAGTCAGAATTGGGAAGGACCTCTCCGAGCCGTTCGGTACCAAACGAGGTTACAGACAGGGTGATTCTTTGTCGTGTGACTTTTTGGAACTCATTGTGGAGAAAATAATACGAGCTGTAGAGCTGCGTGTAGAAGGTACAATCTTTTAGAAGAGTGTAGAGCGACTGTCGTATAACGATGAGACTCACATTATTCGCATCAACATCTGCGCCCTGAGTGCTACTTTCTCCAGACAGAATGAGGGAGATAAGGATATGGGGTCTGGTAGTGAACGAGGGCAAGACGAAATATCTTCTGTCATCAAACAAACAGTCATCGAATTCGCGACTTAGTTCCCACGTCACTGTTGACAGTCATAGCTTTGAAGTAGTAGATAATTTCGTCTATCTAGGTATTAGCATCAACACCAATAATAATGCCAGCCTGGAAATCCAACGCAGAATCACTCATGTGTTTTCCCATCTCTATTTTAGCGGATGGTTCTAAAATTTGAAAGGAAGGCCAACAAAGCATTTGCAAGGGATTTGGTATTTTAAGATTTAGCAAACACAAATTGAAAGTCACCAACTGACCGAACTTTTGTTAATCCCCTCGTATTTCATAGACAAAAAACTGCAAAATCAGAAATTCTTCCCCCAAAGCATGAGCATGACCGTTTGACCTAATTCTACGCGCGTTGAGTAATGAGCAAAACGAATTTGAATACACCGCAGCAAACGAGTGGCGGTAGAAGAGGCAATGGGGGGCACTAAATGTTGCTACCTAACTAGCTTGTAGTATGTTAAATGTGTATGTACATATTTATTATATTCATGTACTTTTGTATGTGTTTATGGATTGTTGTTATATATGTCTAACGGTATTTGTATAATAACATTTTAGGTATTCATATTTATAAGATTGAAGAATACAAATTATTCCATGGTGACTATTTAAATATTTATTTATAGAAGCTATGATCGGTCCTGTTCCGTTCCAAAAAATTTCAAGAGCCATATTTTTCTTGTAAGTAAGTAAGAGGGACCACAAATCTGAAGATTTATATTTATATGAGAATTATAAGTTGTAGTCAGTCGATATTGTTGCCTTCGACAAACGGCCAATGGATTATAAAAATGCACTCAATTATATTTAAATTACACTAAGACTGAATTACTGATTTTCTTTCAAGCACACATGCAGAGGGGGCTACATAGCCAGACCAATTTACTTCGAACCCTGTTAGATTGTAAAACATTTTTTTATAATAATTAAAAAATAAAAAAATAATTACATGTCTATCAGACAGATCTATCATACATGTCATAAATAATTTGAGTTGACCAAAATCTCCTCGAGTGCGACAGAAACTGTACTTCAAAACGAAATAAATGTGAATAAATCGTTTAAATGAAATGCAGAACTTTTGCCATAAAAACTTATCTACTACTGACAAGTAAGGATGGAAAGACTAAGCTCGGGGAATATATTAAATATTAATATTTGAATATGACTTTAGTGGCTATAAGTTTAATTTATTTTTCTATTTTTCATATCCCCCATTACTTTTTCATGTATGTATTGTAAATGTATAATATATTTATTTGCTGCGAAAAAATTCATCTTTGAGGCAGAGAATTTTTCATATTTTTCTAAGCAAATTTATGGCTCGATTTCGATTTTACTATAACTTACTGTCACATGTATCAATTCCCAAAGCTTTATCACCTTAAAATGTAAAATTTTGCCGTAAATATATCTGGCTTTTTTTTACAAGGCTGGATCGTTAGAATAAACTTCAGGTTAATCAAAGCTTTAATTTAATTAATTTATTTATATTTTAATTTTCTTTCATATTCTGTTCAATATGTATTATTATTATTTTAATTTATGTGTAATGTTATAAGATATGGAAATCTTATTGTACTAATGCTTTCTTATCACTAAATAAATAAATAGAAAAATTAATAAAAAATAAATAAATCGTTTCGTTTGGAAATGTTACCGCTAAAGCATTTATGAAACGAAAAGCTGTCGGAAATGTTAAATCGTTAACAGATAATGTTAAATGTTGAAATTGAAAAGTAAGCCGCCATTTCAATGTTTACCGTAAACGCTAAGTTTTTTCAGTTTTTTCCTTTCGAAACAAGTTCAGTTCGTTAAGCTAATTTTTCATAATAGGAAAACGAAATGACATCGTTTCGGTTTTTTTACATTTTTAGTGAGCTCCCGCTGTTACGTATTTTATTCCCTCTCAAATTAGTAGGTATAACTGATTAAAATTTAATTTCACTTTTTTACAGAGTTTTTTCTACCAATACAATGACAACCAGATGTAATTGTGATTTTAATATTTTTATAATATTTAATTAGCATCCTAGATTATTTGAGGAATTGTTGTACCGTTCGCTACAGTGAAAACGTAATAGACTATTCTACTGAAGCATTAATATTTGTAGTCTCCCAAAAGATGTTGAAGAATATACTCGTACATGCATTGGAAAAAGTAGCTAGAAAGCTAAGAAAAGTGCAATTACGTCCCAATATAAGTCACCGAGTCTACAGAAATAAATCTAGATGATGCAAATTAAAGTTTTCCCTTCCCCTCCGAATATAAATCTAAAATCAGCTAATTTTTTATTATGTTTTACAGTTATATTATGTTGTGATAATTACAATGCAACGTTTTGTACATACAGTCTTCATACATAATTTCATTGAGTTTTAGACGCTCTGAGACCCGCTCTAGAGTTATTAATACTCGAACTCACATTGACTGGGTGTAAGACGCTTCAGTCACCCAAGTTATTTTAACAGATGATATTAAGTAGATCCTGGTTTCCGCATCTCATAATATTTGCGGTAAGTTAGAAATTTAAGATAGCTCTTAGTGAAGGAATTAGGGTGATTCCTTTAACTACAAAAGTCGTTTTAAGGTTATGAAAGACATTTGCAAAATTTACGATTCAGCGAACGCTATGTTATGCTAAAGTCTATGAGCGAGAAATAAACAACCCGCTCTTTTGAAAATGACAAAGCCAATAGTATATCAAATGATCTGAAAACTTACTTTAAGATCGGCAGTGCCGTTTATTGATGATATTTTCATATAATAACGAAAAAATCATAAAATCATCATCACAAAACTATTATAATAGGAAGTTGTATTACACAGTGCTATTGTCCCAAATAAATGAAAGCAATGGAATAACTACAAAAATTTAATTTCGAATTTCTACCAATTGCCCCCGTATTTGCAAGACTTGGCTCTCAGCGATTGTGAGCAGACAATGAAGAAATGCTTTGAAAGAATATTATTTCCATGACTGAAGAAGTTATCTCTGAAACTGAGGCATATTTTGAGGTAAGAGATAATTCGTGCTACAGTGCTTTATGATAAATGTGGCTTCACTCCTGCATAGTATACATATAAGTGCTTACATATCATTACGCCAAGACAGAATGATAATCATCCCAAAGCACAATAAAGAAAATCCGTATTAAATTTGAGACTGAGAAAATTTCATTTATCACCGACCGCAAGCAAGACTAAGTGAAAATTTCTTGTATACACCGCGCATTTGGGTATAAAACGCCGAAAAGTATGCAACGTACAGAGACTGAAAGCGCATACATTTATACGCGTACGCATGCTTTCGAAAGAATGTAAAGCTGAGTGAGCAATGCAATTTTGCAAAGACACTCACACACACACACACACACACACACATACACACATGTAAACATAAGAGCGCGCATAAAAATACTTTCATTTATAAATTCCATTGTTTGTTTTGTTTGCATTAATTTCGTTTTATCTTCCATGAAAGAAATTACAACAAACATATTTGTACTAATCTATGTAAGCATACATACATATGTATGTATGTACTAAGTGCACGTTGTACATGCATACATTTACTATATATTTATATGAGTGCAAGCGAGGATACTCACCAGTAACACGAGACATATGAGCAATCCGAAATTTTCGGGAACAACAAATCTGTGGTCATCTTGAGACGACGACGACGACGACGACGACAACGGCGACGGCGACGACGGCGCTAAGGACGATGAGTACGACGATGCGGCTGATGATGTCAGTCGCTATTGGACGACCAGTCGTCGGATGTGGTCGATTGTGTGGCTTTATTTATGTGTGTATGTATGTAAATATGTATTTATTGTGGTAGTTGTTTTGGTGCATGCGAACGTAGTAGGTCAGCCACCGATCGAATTGTAGAATTGTGGTTTGTGGTGTTGTGTCAATTATTTGCGATGTGAGTGAGTGAGTGAGTGTGCGTGTATGTGTGTGCGACGGACGTGTGGTCTTATGCTTTCGTATGAGATGCGTGTTTTATGGCGCTCAGCGCTTGTATTTATTGAGATTATCCGGCTCGTTTAATATTCGCTGACCACAATATTTTTTTTTTTTATTTTTTTTTATTTCTCACTTTATTCTTTTATATGCAATCTGTTCTTTTTTTTATTTGTGCCTCACAAAGTGAGCAACAGTTCATATGACCACTTCAAGCAGTTGCTTCTCAACAATAGACGATGTTCCTGGTTTGCATAAATCACCGAACCTATATCTAAATGAATGTATGTATGTATATGAGTGTGAGTCGATATTTGGAGGTTAAGAAAAATTAAACAATTAAAAATACATATATAAAAAACCTCATTGACTGCAACTCAATATCGTTTATTATAATTTTTAAACACTTGCACCGGTGACGGCGACTAATTGGCAACTGCCGTTATGCGGCGCTTCTGTGAGCCTCGTTAGCTATGCACTGCCTACGGATCGAACTACAAAACGGCGTCAACGGTGTTGGCACTCGCACGGTTACCGTTTTTCTTGCCTCGCATACACCAACACAAACAAAGTTCACTCTTCTTCTACTTCTTGTGAAATATGCAACTAAAACACGTCAGATTTCAAACAGAATTCACACAGTATATGCATGTACACATGTATGTATGTATGTGTGTGGGCGTATTTGTACAATTCTTCTGCAGTGCAGTAACTGGTTTCACAACATAGACTAGAGACTCCTCAATTTCTCTACGTAGTATATTTTTCAGCACCAAACATCCTTCAACTTTATAAAAATTTATATGCTGCTATGTGTGTTGGTGTGTTGGTGTGAGTGTATGTTTGAATAATATGTATTGGTATCACGTACGCACACAAGCCGCAAGGTTTGTTTTATAATTATATATACATATATATATATGTATGTACATATGCCCCGCAAAGTCAATGCCTATCTACTTTTCACAGGCTGTCTCGTCTCAGCTGCTTTTGGATGCTTTAAAATGAGCCAATAAGCTGATGTCGTCTCGAGGCAGTTTTTGTCGTCGTAGACAAAAGCTAACGTTAGCGTATTTTAACGAGAATTCTGGAATTCAGCTACTGCCTTGCTTTTGGCTGTATTTTCTTCGCTCTTTTTTCGTCGCTTGCTTTGTTATTATTCCAACTTGCCTTCGACACGCTGCTGCGCCTAAAAGCTGATACACTTATGCTGTCTAAAGTGCTTATAAGTGTTATTTACGTACATACATACACAAATGTGGGTGGGTGTGTGTTTGAGTGTGTGTGTGTGTGTGTGTGTATAAGTGTGTTGACATTAAGTAAAAATGTTTGTTTTGGCGCATATTTGTGTCGCAATACGCATATATACACATGCATACATACATACATACATATATACTCAGGTATCTAGATTAGCAGCTTTAATTAAGGAGCAACTCCTAGTGCGGCTGTTGCTTTTGCTCGGTCGTTTCGCTTAATTTGTTTTGTGCTTTCCGTACCTTTACCTGCTTCATTCACCACTAGCCCTCTTTCACTCTTGAAATTTTGTATATTTGATCATTTAAATATACTATATATGTTCATACATATATAGATATATTTCTGCAATTTTGTGTATTTGCGCACCTCCTCCGCAAAGGCACTTTCTGACTTACTCAAGCCACTTCTGTGTGTACAAAGTTTTGATTACACTTTCAATCCTCTACCATCTCCTCGCCTCTTCACTATATTTCCTTTACCTTTTGTGGGTCACTACACAGCGCATTGGGCGCACACATACATACATATCATACATATATAGAACTTTAGAATTATTAGTACAAGAAATAAATAATAAAAATATATATAGTTACGCCTCAATTAAATTAAAAGTACTTTTGAAAAGTTCTTATACTTTTTTGCTGACTTGGCCTATTTTATGCAAACATTTTTTATATTCTTTTCTTGCGTGCTTTATACACATTTTAAAATTTATGCCCCTTTCGTGTGACACTTTTTATGTTTTCATATGTACTATGCGTGTATTTATTTTATACGCACTGTGTTTTAGCATCCCTTGCCATTTCTCATACAATTTTCATAAATTAAATTTCCTACTCACAGCACTATATGTATGTACATATATAAATACATATGTGTATGTATACAAGTACGTGTATACACGCGATTTCGCCGTATAACTCAAGCACTTCAATATTATTTATTATATTTATTATGATTATGCTTATTATTTATTTATTTATTTTCCTTTTGCTCTATCGCTCTTTTTCTTATATAAATTGCAACAACGCTTTGTTGCGAGTGGACTTCCATACGCGTTCCCGGTTCTACATCAACTCAGTTATCATTAGTTGACTTCGTGTCGAGTTGCCAGTTCGTCGTGATGTAGAAACTTTTGCCTTTCAACTTCATATGAGTGCAGAGGAACTTCGATTTGCGCAATATGCACACTCTCATTCGTACTCAGTGGTTTTCGCATCAGCATGGCGTTGATACAAGTGAGCGTAACACATTTGACGTTCGAGCTCAACGGTATTTGTATCACTTCACTGACCTCACACTCGTCCGAGTTCGGCTTGATTCGTTGGAGAACGCAAAAACTGCCCACTTGAAGCATTGGTAAACATTATTTAAAACTGCGGTGTGCCTCTCATCCAGAAAATGGTTGAGAGGAAATGTTTGTTGAGATGCAGAACTATATACATATTTATACCATTCTTTGAGTGCTTTCAGCTAAATAATATTAGTAGCGGCAAAATCGAGCTAATAGGTGCAAATATCAAACTTCTTGAAATAACGTGACAAATATTTTTATCCTGTTTAACCTATAGCTCATATATAGCGGCCGCGAGAGCCGAGTGGTTAACATTGCGTACTGACATTCTGAAGGCTCGGGCTCATATCACGGTGCCACCAACATCCAAAAGTTATAGAAAATAAATTTAAATAAAAAATAAGCTAAATTTTCTGATTGCGGTGGCCCCTCGGCAGAGAATGTCCACCCTTCCGAGTGTATTTCAGACATGAAATAAAGCTCCTGATAAAAAAAAAACATCAGCCGTTCGGAGGCGGCAAATTGGAGGAGGAGCTCGGCCGAAAAACCGCTTCCCCGGTTACAAAGCGTCGATTGTAAAAAAAACCTATTGCTCAAGAAATGATTAGTTGAAGGTTGGGTAACCCAATCCTATTTAAGATGCAAATGTCTTGCCTGCAGTAAGTTCTAGCGCAATTGAGGTGTGGAAGATCGCATGAAAAGTGAAAAATTAACGGTTGAAAACAGTTTTTTAAAGGGTTTAATATTATTTTAATACGGTCTATTTGCCTTGTCCTTATTATGGCCTAACTTCTGACCTACCTAATTCAGAATTGGAGTAATCTTTGCGAGTGGAGAGTTAGGAACGCAACGTTTAAAGTAATATAAAATAATGGGATTTGAATATTTCAAGGGGCCCGCAGGCGGCATAATCGTTGACTTAAGTATACTTCAGTATAACCTAACCTTATGACCGATTAATTTGACCCGTATTTAGACTTTCTTTTTATTAATTAAAAATTAAATGCTGTTAAATTGAATTTTCGAACTAAAATTATGAGTTACATACAGACTCATATGGACTTGAACTTCTAACGATTATTGAGATTTGAATTTTTGTCTGCGCTACTTCACATAATAAGATTACATTTCAGTTTATTTTTTTTTATAATTGTAGCTGAACTTAAACTCAGCATAGCTCAGGAAAATATGTTTTAATGAAGTCAAATGTAGATATACATATATGTACATATACATATCTATTTTTGAATCGTAATTTGGAATTGTTATGTTGCCCCAAAGGAAACCAGCGATTTATTAAAAGATACCAATTTAATTTTTTTCAACTTTTATGATTAACTTTAATCCATTTCGATCTCTCCGGAAACACCTTTATTCTTCGCTCATAGAACTTCTGGAACAAATGGTAATCTGACGGTGTAAGGTGGCTGCATCAACAGTTCCCAAAGGTGTGTGCGATCTAAGATTGTCCTGGTGGAATATGACACCTTTACTATTGACCGATTTTGGCCGCTTCTCGTTGATGGATGTATTCAATTTGTCCAGTTGTTCACAGTAGACAACCGAATTAATCGTTTGGTTCTTTGGAAGCAGCTCAAATCTTCAATCTTCTTAGGGTGAAACTCAGCCTTTGAAGTGGTTTATGGTGCTTCATCATGCTTGGACCATGATTTTGTTCGATTGACATTATTCTAAACAATCCATTTTTCATCTCCAGTTGTGATTTGCTTCAAAACGGATCTTAATCATTGCGTTTAAGATGCATATCACAGGCGTCAGTTACATGACGATCCGATCTGAAGCCTTGATATCGTTATCGTCAACTTCACTCGGCCGACCTGAACATGGCTTATCTGTGAGTAAAAAATCTTCCGAATATAGTTCGAAAAACCAACCTCGACGCTGTGTTTCTTTAAAGGCCTCATCACCATATATATTAGGCAGCCTTTTAGCAACCTGCGCTGCATTTTTTTCTTCAAGGAAATAATAAAGTAAAATAAGTAAGACATGTTCTTTTGTGGGCTCCATAAAAAATTTGACTCCAAAAAAACAAAAAGTGACACCTTATAACAGTCAATAGAAAAAATACAATTAAATAGCCACAAGTTGTTCAAAAAGAATTATCAACGCCGTCTACATGAGAAATCGCCGGTTTCTTTTGGGGCAACCCAATAAGTCAAAGTATGTTTATCATATTCGATAAATTACAAAGGTAAGGATAATAGTGTGCTCTCTGAATATTTGTAGCCTGAACCTGCCGCAATAAGTACATATCCAACTGAGGAAATTTTTGGAAGTGAAGTAATTCGTAGAAACGCACTTAGATTGGTTATTCGTTGAGAGAGAACAAACAATATTTTGACCTTTTTTGTTTGAGTTGCGTTTACCCCCATTGGTCATATTCAGAATTGCATTTTCTAATGTAAACAAATATGAGGATATGAGCAAAAGCTTTTTCGTTATTGTTCGATTACTCTCTTTAAAATCCATTTCGGAGCACTGTCATCGTGCATGTGCGCTCTGCCAACCACTTTCGAATGCTGTTTGGGAGTCTGGAATGCGCAACTGGTCATAAAATCTCAATCACAAATTGTTTGTACTGTTGCACCATAGAACCGATATATGTAACTACATATTATTCACATACATATATGAGGAATACCAAATTTAAAATTATTAAAATTCTGGAAGAAATAATTATTGGTTTAGCAGTGTTTTTTTTTGTATTGATATTGAAAATTTTGCTGGAATAATTCTTGTTATTTAGATCCCTGCCTAGTAGTTGAAATATGTTACTAAATTCACGAATATGCAAGCTTTTATAATGTTGAAAATAGAGTCTTGTTATATTTTTTCAACGTAGAAATTATAATTTAACTCTTATTAGCTTTTGGACCATAGTACGTGGGTATGTCTTTTGTAGTGTCTGTGAGAAGAGTAAATAGGCAACTCAAGGAGCAAAAGTTTGAGTTGAAGCAGCAGACTGCTGTTAATTTTAATTCTTTTATTATTGCTACAAGAATATATTGGAATATAAAACGACATTACTGTTGGATCCAACATTGAATACACTACACATTTGATAATCGTTTTTACTGTTTTCACATAGAAAATTCATAAAAATTTTATTTATTTTTCCACTGAATACTTTTGTTCACGTTTGTTATTTAATGCCAACTGCGTCAAACAGCTGATCAGAGAACGTAAATCGTTCATTTACGCTCATTGTATTTACGTTCTCTGCTCGTTGTATTTACATTCTCTGTGGTGCCTCTTGACGAGTGTCAAATGAAAGCATAGTGGATGATAGCAAATAAAGCTGTGGGCCGCAAAAAGCTTGCATAGTTTTAGGCTGTGAAAGGTGTTATTTGAATTGCGCCCTTTAGTTATTTGAAATATTGCAGAGAACTTATAATAATTAATAGAAATTCACTGATATTGCATAAAAGGTCATAAACGTTCTATCAAAATTAATTCTTTTCTGTTTTCCACTTGAAGAATGGCGAATAGAGAGCTTTAATTATAATAAGAGATTTTAATTTATCTACAATTATTTCAGGAAGAGATTCGTTTAATTCAAACCTCTAATTCATAATAGAAATGGCTTTCAATGTTCTTTTAACTGACATATTCATATTATGTATGTATATGTTGAAGCGCAAAAGGATTACCTAACTAATAAAAACTACAAATATTTTTAGAGCGAGTATTCAACTTTACCTGACCAGGAAAGTCAGAGCAGCCTATTCTGACGAAGATTACATACAGCATAAAAGTGAAAGGTGATGGATTTCCAGTAAGAGTTGGATATAGGATTAGAATTTGCACAGGGCGTATAAAACTTTTCATTTTGCCTCTCACCATATTTTTTCTCGAAAATGAAGCTACGCATATTCAATCAGATATATATATTAAGTCAAGTAAAAAGTTCGTTCGGTTTTTTATCGTAGAAGGCTGCGTTCCTATTGGCAAAAAAATAGGAGAGCCAATTTTGACAGGTCTCTCTTGAGGCCAACTTCTCACCATTAAGCGCGTTCGCCATGGACTGGAAAAGATGGTAATCACTTGGTGCCAGGTCCGGACTATAAGGTGGATGCATTAGAACCTCCCATCTGAGCTCCATGGAACTTCTCTGTTGATCAAAGATGGC